TATTTTTAAAGCTATGAAAGTAATGAAATTAGCACTGAGATGGACCTGCACAAACAAAGCTTGCTAGCAAGAAGACCAGGTTCTCTCCATGTGTTTACCTTCCCCTGTTCAGTTCCTACCAAGTCTCAAAACATTTCTCTTTTCCGTATGTCTCTATAATGTATCATTCTTTGTTTAAAAGCGCATATAAACCCCTGGGTCTGTCTGCTTCACTTCTTCACTAGGAAAGCTTCTGTGACACATGAAAACACCAAACCAAATTAAAAAAAAATGTTCCTGTATTCTGTCTTGGATCAATCTAATTCACTAGAGGGCAGGGAGAAAAGAGTTCTTCTCCCCAGTGATTGGTATTATACCAAAATTTTACTTTCTAGGACATTTGAGAGTGAAGACAGGAATAAAGGTCTGTCAGTATTGTATTTTCAAATCTGGAAGTTGGATTTTGGAGGGGAGATTTTGTGGGCACAACAAGGAAATGATAAGGAAAAAGACTGGGAGAAAGAGAGTTCCACTCTTCTTCCTTATGCCTCCCTCTGCCCCTCCCCCCACTTGCCTCTGGCCTTACCTAGAGGAACATAGAAGAGTCTGGTTCTGAGAGGTATTTCAACTTCTGAAATGCCAAAGAGAAATAGGCAATATGGAAGAGAGAATTCATAGGCAACTCTCTCCTGATCTTGAGTCTGATTCCGTTTCCCCAGGCCCTAGGGGAGGGGGGTCCTGAGGATGGGGGTGCCTGAGGCAAACCTGGAAGGAAGGATTGGTAGGCACTTCCTGGTTCTCCTCTCCTCTTCCTTTCAAGAAAGACCTTAACTACACAGAGTTTTTCCTCATTTATTTAGAACTCAAACATAATCTGTCCTTCAGGTCTACCCAGAGCTTTCAGTGTGATCTACTTGTTAACCAAACCAAACCAAAACAAAAAAACCTATGTGAGAGGCTGGGAAGGTGGCTCAGTGGTAGAGCGCTTGCCTTGTAAGCACGAGGCCCTGAGTTCGATTCCTCAGTACCACATAAGCAGAAAAAGCCAGAAGTGGCTCTGTGGCTCAAGTGGTAGAGTGCTAGCTTTGAGCTGAAGAGCTGAGGGACAGCGCCCAGGCCCAGAGTTCAGGCCCCACGACTGGCAACAAAACAAAACAAAACAAAAACCGATGTTAACAGCTTTTAGTGCCATTTACTGAGGGCCAGTAGAGTGCCAAACACCACCCCAGTATTCTCTTTTGCATTCTTATTTTTTGTATCTTTTAAGTCTAGCATCCATATATTAGAGAAACTATGTAAGTGACCCTTATCTTTCTGAACCTGGATTACTTCATATAATATAGTTTCTAGTTCATCCATTTCCCTATAAAGGATGTAATTTCATTCTTTCTTATGGTTGAATAATACTCTATTGTTCATATATACGTGTGTATATATGTATATATATGCATACATATGTATATACACACATATACATTGTCTTTTTTTTTTGTCGGTTGTGGGGCTTGAGTTCTGGGCCTGGGCACTGTCCCTCAGCTTTTCAGCTCAAGGCTAGCACTCTACCACTTGAGCTACAGCACCACTTCCAGCTTCTTTCTGCTTATGTGGTGCTGAGGAGTCGAACCCAGGGCTTCATGCATACAAGGTAAGCACTCTACCACTGAGCCACCTTCCCAGACCATATGTTGTCTTTTCCAGCAAGAAAAAGTTTACTTCTGTCACTGTGTTTATATTTTCTTGATCCATTCATCAACTGTAGGACATCTGGACTCTTTCCATAGGTTGGTTACTATGAATAGTGCTGTAATGAATATGGTTGTGCTTGGTGTGTGTCTTCTCAATTAGAGATTATGTGTTGATCCAGGCTGTTGTTAGCTGGCACAGACAGAGCCCAGTACCTACATACAAGGCAGAGCAATGCTGTTTTCTCTGCCCCCACCTCTACCCCCCCATTGAGACATAAAAGCATTGCATTTGGAATATTGTAGGCTTCACCATGGGGCTCAGAGAGATGTGTTGTACAGCTGACTATAGCCCCCTAGTTCCTACAGTAGCAAATCAATTCATCATAAGACATGCTACTTGGATTTCAGAGTAGACAGAGAGGTAAGAATGGTACAGTTTCTATCAAATTCATTTCCTCAGATCCATTCTTTACCATCAAATCTAAGGGCTCTCCCCCAGGGTTACAGTAACAATGATATGGTGGCTTAAAGGGAATTTGATGAAACACTGAAACTCATTTCTCTAATGGGAGACAAAAGTGATTTATGAGCATTTCCCCCTTTATTCCTCCTGGCTCTTTATACTATATGTAGAGTAGCCTGAAGGGCACATTTTTCTTTTCTACCATCTGTTTCTTTCTCCATTTTCCTCATGGCCTCTATCCAGTAGGGAACTTAAAATTTTGCCAACTAAAAATCATTTGGTTTGACAGCACATCTGATTGATGGATAACTCTGTATCTTTTCCTAGTTAATTTGGAAATATCATTTACACCAATCTATGTCATACAACCATTCTATATCTGACATTAATGCAAGAAATACAAGTTGAATGATGTCTCAATTGCAAGCTCACTCAAGAAATGCAAATTAAATGAATGAATGAATGGTGCCAGTTAGTGTAATTAAATTGTTTTTCTTCCATTGTTTAGCTGAGATTCGGAGAATGCAATTTCAGTGTTCAATAGTGACAAGTGTAGAAAGACTGGCAATTTGGTATGATGGGTAGGGGGATCTGAGGGCATCTAGGGGAAACATAAACTACAGTGGGTTGTAGGAGATGGTGAGGCTCTACTCTGAAAGAGAGATAAGCAGGGGAAAAGGAAGAGAAGAAGGAGAAGAATTGCTTGGCCACCACCCAAGTTGATTGCTGTGCTGATAATGTCTTCCCATCTCTTCCAAGCCATGGGTGCTGCAGCATTAGTATGCTTTCAGAACCTGGAAGAGAGAGGGGATATTGGAATAGAGAGATGGAGGGTCCTTCACTGCAAAATATAATCGATGCTTAGGGCAGATGCTTGTCCTAGATATGCAGATGACCTGGACTCTTGATTGATACTTGGCTTGATCAGGTGCAACTTCAATCTCTAATAGCATCCCAACAAAACACAACTTAGAGAACAAGCAGGCTTCTTCCTTAGCAAGCAGGCATCAGTTGGCAATGGAGGGAGTCCTAAGGAAACAATTTTGTTGTTTGGTAGTAGAGAAGACGTATTCTCTCATTTTAGATGAGGATGATGTAGTTTCGTCTGCATTTAGGACTGAGTGGGCCTTCACACTTAAAAAATATAGAAATAAAAGTTGTAATTGATTTGTAGAATGAGGATGCAAGTAACAGTAACTTCGTCTTATGTTTCTTGAGCTTTTTCTAACTGGGCAAATATGTAACACTACAGATGTCAGTCTCCCCTTCAAAAACAAAACAAAGCACGTTTTAGCTCTATAAACTTAGGTTATATAGCTGTTTGGCAGTACAACCGTTACTAGAAGCTAAATGCTGTCTTTCTCACCCCAGCTTCTTTCTTCTGATCTATAGTCCATGGACACAATAAGGAAGAAGACAAATAACACAGCTTTTTAAAAAGTCATCCAACAAGGGGTGCCACAGATCAAGATTAGTTGTATTCATAAGTTGAATTGAAACCATGTTGTACAATGATGTAAAGATGATACTAATAATAAAAGAATTCATCCAAGTTTAAAAAAATCATCAGAGAAAGACATTATTGAATCCTCAGACTAAGTATAAATATAGGGTGAAGATAGCAAGAAAAAAAGCAATTATTTAAAGAAACCAGGAATTCCAACATTTAACATTATACAAAATTTTTATTTATTTATTTAGCCAGTCCTGGGGCCTGAACTCTGGGCCTGGGTGCTATCTCTCAGCTCTTCAGCTCAAGGCTAGCACTCTACCACTTGATCCACAGGGCTACTTCTGGCTTTTTCTGCTATGGTGGTGCTGAGGAATCGAACCCAGGGCCTCATGCATGCAAGACAAGAACTCTACTACTAACACACCTTCCCAGCCCTACACAAAAATTTTTGAAAGGGTGAAATTCATAAGAAATCTTGATAAGATTACTCACTTTGATATCAGGGCACATTCATAATGAAGGGACTAGAAAAAGACCTTTGAAAAAACCATGGGCATAAAATTTAAAATTTTATTACATATTGAAATAAAAGATTCCTCATGTTCATTTTAATGAAGATATTGGAGTAGACACTTCTACTAAAAGTATTTATTAAAATAAACAAACAAATAAAAAGAAAGGTCATACCAGGGATTCCCAGTCAGCTTGGTATCTTCTTTTAGTAAGCACTAAAATTATAGTTTGGGATAAAATCCTAAAGGTTAAGCATGCATTCAGAATTATGAGTCTGCTTTCTGAATTGCTGCTTTAATACAGTGGACTTCTCCTAGGGAAATAATTGGCGATTTTCTTCTGTGCCTCACTAATAAATAATCTACATATCATATTACCAAGTGTACTGTTCATGTTATATTCATAAAATCCAACAGTGTAGGTACTTGATTACTTTTGCTAAAATAATGGAACAGGAAGAGGTTTAACTGAGGCAGAGGTACCCTCCTGGACTCATATAAACAAACCGAAATCTAAGCTCTCAGAATGGAGTGGCTCCTCTCAAGTGGCCACCTAAGCATCAAATATAACATCAGGGACTTTCCACTCGATTAGTCCAAAAAAAGAGGTAACAGCTCAAACGTTAACCAATCAAATAACTACTTTGTTATTGCATTCACCCTTTAAAATTCATACTTCGAAATTTCTCCTGTGGAGCCCAAGCTAATAATGATTTCGTTGCATGAATCATTATGCAAATAAACTTAAGAAGGTTAATGTACCTCCTTTGTCTTTTGATACTTCTCTCATTGGCCAGTTCAGCAGTCATGGACTGAGGACATGAGGGGTAACCACATCATTTGCTGGGCTCAGAAAAAAAAAAGAAAATGTGGGTGGTGTCAGGTTGGACACATCCATTGGAGGATACCTGCATGGAGCGAGCAGTGAAAAGATGAGTTGGGAGAATGAGATGGTGATAGAGAGAGGAGCCATCAGCATCCTTGAGTGTGAGGATGAGTCTAGTGAAGCAGTACAGCCTGCAAGGGGAGCCCACAAAGATTCTGGGAGGGAGAAACTGTGAGGTGTGAGTGGTACACTTTGAGAAGTCAAAGAAGCTAGGAGGAAGTGCCCAACTTTGGCCTCCTGCTAAGAGGGTTGGCCAGGTGATCCTGAGCAAGTGTCCTTGGATTTGGCAGCACTGACATTGTCATGGATCTTGACAAGTGTGGTTGCAACAAAGCAACAAGGCCTGAAGTTGTTGTTTTTTTTTTTTGAGGGGGGTAGTGGTGGTCATGGGGCTTGAACTTGGCCTGGGTGCTGCCCCTCAGCTCTTCAGCTCAAGGCTAGTGCTCTACCTCTTGAACCACAGTGCCACTTCTGGTTTTCTGGTGGTTTATTGGAGATAAGAGCCTCATGGACTTTGCTGCCTGGGCTGGCATTGAACTGTGATTCTCATATCTCTGCCTCCTGAGTTGCTAGGATTACAGGCGTGAGCCATCAGTGCCTGGCTTGAGGGCTGAAGTTTGACTGAGAATGGATGAATTCTGAAAAACTAAGTTTTTCATGTTAGTTTTCCATGTGTTGTAAAGTCAATTCAGTCGGCAAGATACAAAGAAGTCACATTTTGAGAGGTTGAATTGAGAGTCTTTTAGAAAGTCAACATCTACCGCTAGGCTCCTGTCACAAAGACAACTCCAATACACTTTTAACACTGTTAGAAAATGGGGTCATAAAAGCCAGAGAGGAAAGATAGAGCAGAAAAACAATACCAACAAACCAGATCAGCTCCAGTGGAGAGCTGAAGTGGGACGCCATGTTGACTGGAGGAGAGCCAGGGGACAGGAGACAGGACAGGAACATGGAGACATGTGGCATGGCGTAGTGGCGCCTGAGCTGGTTTGGGCTCATATAGTGTCAGGTCACAGGAAACTCGAGGCAAGTTCAAGGCACAGGACTGATGTGTCCAGTAACCTGTAGTCCAAGTCCCTGCCCCTGCCTCTCGGAATTCAGGCCCATCCATCACCTGGGAGGTGGGATTTCCCCTTTCTCCACCATGAAGACAACATGGCGCCAGTTAGACTCAGCATCTGCACTTCACATTGCTGTGCAAAACTGGCTAGGATAAACAACTTATGAAGAAATGTGTGTTTTGGCTCATGGCTCAAGAGTTTCAGTCCATAGTCTCTTGGCCTCATTGTTTCTTAGCATTTAGTTAGGCAGAACATCATGGCAGGAAATGCAGGATGGAGCAAAGCTACTCACCTCTTTTTCTGGGAAACAGAAAAAGGAAGGAGTTGGGGGCAAAATATACCCTTCAAAAGCAGGCTCCCAAACAACCTCCTTCTGCTGAGGAGGTCCATCTCCCAAAGTTGCTACAATCTCCCTCCAGTCCATTAAGGTATTGAAAACCATAAATAGATTAACCAGTTCATAAAGCCAGAACGCTCATCATCCAATCATCTCTCAAAGGTTCCGCCTCTGAACACTGCCTTGTTGGAGACCAAACCTTCAACATAGAAGCTTTCAAGGGACATGTAGAATAGGTACTTTGAAAGCACTTTTGCTGAAAAGTTCTGTCTCTTCCTTTGGGCCCACAAGGTAACTAAAAGCTGGATAAAGCCTTGCATCTGTCTCTTCATTTTCTATCTGTCTGCTTTATTATGGGCTAGATTCCTGTTTAACTTTGCACAAAGGTGTTTCATTCATTCAAGCAGTGACTAAGAACTAGTGATATCTAACCTATTTTATCCCCCTCAGGGTGGAAAGCACGAAGATAAGAGATTTTTTTTAACCATGTCCTCTTTTGAACAATTGTGAAGTCACCAGAAGTCTGTCATTATTGTTCTAAACCTACAGTCATGATGGACGCTGGTTGGCAGACAGAGATATATCACCTCATGATAACTTTATCCACACAGCACCCCCAAACCACACAGCTGTCACCTCATGGGAACCAGTTTGTTCCCTCAAGTGACAAAGACTTCCTGAGCCATCCTGAAGAACTAGAATTGAGATAAGGACCACCGCTTGTGCTCACTGCCTAATTATGTATACCTCTCACCTCTGGCCCTAATTCTTCCTCTACTTAAAGGTAAAGCTCCCATCTACCATTACTTTTTGCCACTAATCTGGGGGCGGGTAACTAGGCCTGATGTATTGGACTCTCCAGAGTTGAAACTCTGGCCTAAGACTCTAGTTATTATTTTAGATCCAAACTGTAACAGAAAGGTAGGAGAGGGGGTGCAGTTGGGAGGAGCTGAGGGAGGAGGGGAGGAGCCAGAGTAGACAGTAGTGTTACTAAGCAAGGATCCTGGAGAGCTTTGATAGAAGTCTCTCCACAAAATCTGTGGATAGAAGAAGAAAGATGATGGAGACCATTGTTCTTAACTGGAAATTTGTAGGGCTTTGATTCTCCAACCCAAATCTACCTCTAAAGTATAAATCTAACCATGTGACTCCTTCTTACACTCTTTTCACATTTCCTGTCATCCTCCATGTACATTCCCCTCTTTGTCTCTGCTCAGCTCTCCACTTTAGGTGAACAACATACTCTTGGGTCTTCTCTGTTCTCTGGATTCCTAGTCCTCTTTCAGATCTCAACTTAAGTACCACTTCCTACTGGAGACCTACACTCTAACTTTAACCTGTAACTCATTCTACTTTAACTATTTGATTATTTACTTACTGTTTTCGTCTAGACTGTAAGTCCATAGCAGGAAAGTATTTGTTTACCTTGGTAGGGTGTACTTCCAGAGTCAAGTGCACACAGTACCTTATAAGATTCTCCATGCTTCTCTGCTCTCCAGGTTTTTATCTGGCATTAGTGTGTTCAGACAGCCTTTTGCTTTCCCTGGGAGTCAGACTAGGGGATAAATATAGACTCTGGAGCCAGATTTTCTGCCTTCAATTGCTACCATACATTAAGTCTGTGAGCTTGTGCAATTTAGGCAATGATTCCATGCCATGCTTCCTTTTCCATAGAAGGAAAAATTAAACCAACTCTATCTCATCTGGTGGTTATTGGAATTAAATGAGTTTTAAAAGGTATAAAACACTGGACCACTTATTTTCAATATTTTAAAGGCATTTCCCCATCAAAATAATCATTCATAGCTTTTGTTTTGAAAGGAGAAAATAATTTGAAAACCCCCACCAATAACCTTCAGAAATGTCTTGTGGATTTATCAAGTTTTAGCGGAATAAGAAATACTTCTATAAGGAAAAAAATATGTGTCTAAAATACAAGGCAAAATTAGCAGTGTCATTATAAGCTTGTTATTCTATTTAAAGAATTTAGTGTTATTATAAAAGTAATGATAGAGGGGTTACAGTTACATAATCTGGTAAAGAGTACATGTCTTTTTGGACAATGTCATCCCTTCCTCTGTTCTCTCCCAGATTTTCCTTCCCACCCTTACCCACAAGTTATATGGTTCGTTTTCAATGAAGTGTCTTTTGAGTACTACTGCTGCATTTGTTATTCTATTATTGATGTAATTACTATGGATTTTGAGTATGAAAAGCATGTTTACACAGAAAATTAGCTGGGAAGGATTTTTAAAATTAATTCTCTTTCATATTCACTCTCTCAAATTATGCCACAGCCCTCAGAGTAATGTTAGCTTGTTTCTTATCACACATTGAATTCATAGCACTTCAGGGGAAATTGGGAAAAGAAAACATTCAGCAATGATGAAAAAAAAAGTAGACAACCTGGTCACAATTTATTGTTAGCTGAAAAAGACCACTCTTACCAACTGCAGCATAAAAATATACTATTCTGATTATTTCCTGTGTTTATATTTAGGATTTAAGTGATCTTTGCTTTTCAATTTCATCTTCTTATCCATCTAAAACCTTTAAATATTTAATAGCATAAGAATCTGTGAATCCCTTTGTAAAAATGAAAATTCTAAGAAATGTAGTGGGTCTTTACAAATGGATGTTTTCCTGCTTAAGAAACTAGAAGTAAATATAGCTGGATTTTAGAAAGCACTTGGCAGAGACCCTGGCTCTTTGTGTTAGCATTACTAAAGCCCTGGGTAGACTGAGCTTAGTGCATTTTGTGTCCTTAGTTCCTACCTCCTAGTTATGTTGGTAGCTCCATTACTATTTCTTATATTGGACTAACTCAAAACTTAATAGATGTGATATAATAATGTTGCCTGTTAAGGGAATTGTTTTTGGTAAAATGGAAAAAATGGGTTGAAAACTACTTATGTATTAATTAGAAAATCTTCTGTACATGTAAAATTTTTACCTTTTAAGAAGTAAAAAGGAAAGAGTAATATTTTATATATGATTTGGTAAATGTTGGCTATCTATGTAATTAATAACATTGAAATTCATTGGTTTATAATAATGACCTAGCATTGTAGCTTACATCTCTTGAATTGACTGGGCTTGGATGATCTTGCCTGGGCTTGCTCATATGTCTGAGCTGCGTTTGGTTAAAGCCTCTTATTGGGTCTTTTTTTATTTCATCTGTCTCTTCTACTGGAAGCACAGGAGGCTGTCAGCTATGACGACCTGATTTATAATTTTTCTGACCTTACACTGATATGAAAGTAATATGTATTCCATAAAACCTACAGTTTTAGATGTTGATTTTTTCCTCCAGGTTAGTGACACTCTCAAGATGCTGGGTGGTAGCAGTGAGCTCCAGCTTCCAGTCAACTACAGGGTCCCAAGGAGGAGCAATGCAGGGCAACATATTGCTAACCCATAATATTCAAGTGGTCAGGTGTATGAGTTACCTTTTCTATCTTTGATAGCTTCAATTCCCATTGTAAGTGGAAAAGTATATAGCATAGCTCAGGTGTACTCTTTCATGGTGACAGCAACAGCTCTGGAGAAGAAGACATTTGCATAGGTTACTTACTGGCAAATCACCATGCTGAACTTGGGGTCTAGGGTCTGGGAAGTACCGTGTATACTTTTGTGGGAAGAATGAGTTTCCTGAAAAAAATGTGTAGCTATATGGGGAAATGAAAAAGTAAGCCTATTAACCTAATCTGCCACATTCTAATTTAGAGGCCATGGAGGTGAAATTACTAAATGTCTGAAGAAACTATACATTTTCATCATTATTCTATCGATAAGTGTCCACTACACAGGGGATAATTTCGTTGAGAATCAACTGTGTTTGCTCTTGGTTGCCAAATAAACTTTTAAGTAGTCCAGTGGCTCATTTAGTGTTCACCTCTCCACTATTGTAGGATAAGTGAAATCTGACCCAAAGAGTTTCACCATAAATGTATATCATGTATTTTGTTTGGCTGTTTTATTTCTAGAGATAAGGTCTGAGACAGCCCAACTTTTTATCAGCATTAGTATCTCAGGCTCATAACTTTCTGTGTATTGTTCACTTCCTCTTTTTTCTCTTTGTGCCAGTATTGTGGTTTGAACACAGGCCCTGAGCATTGTCCCTTAGCATTTTCATTCAAGACTGGCTCTCTACCACTTGAGCAACAGCTCCACTTCCATCATTTTTATGGTTCATTTGTGATAAGGGTTTAATGGACTTTCTGGCATAAGAGAGAGTAGCTAGGAGTACAGGTGTGAGCCACTGGTATCTGGCTTCTACCTCTTCTGGTATTATAAACCCTTTTAACTTTTCTCTCTCTCTCTCTCTATATATATCTGTATCTCCATATAGATATATAGATATTATTTTAAAGATACTGTGCAGAGGGGTTACAGTTACATGAGTAAGGCAATGAGTACATTTCCTATCAAGCATTATTACCCCTTGCTTTGTTTTTCCCCTACCATCCCTTCCCTCCCAACCTCCCCAACTTCTCCCTCCCCTGGCCTGATGCTGTAAAGTTCATTTATAACACAGTGTCTTGTACATCTCATTGTTACAATGGGTCAAACTGTATCCCTATTTAAACATTTTGTTATTTCCCTTCCCCTCCCCAGATTAGAAAAATGTATACACAAGATGCAGAGCAATGACATCAAATACAGTGGAAATAGGGTTATACCATGGGGGAAGAACATACAAAAGAAACAACAAAAAATCACAAAGTACATTAAAAACAATAGCAACAACGATAAAACCTCTTGTGTCCCTATCTTGGGATTCATTTCTCTTAGCATCCTCTTATATGGTATATGTATATAGTTTTTGACCTTTTCTGCTTGTCCTATACATATACTAGTTACTGCAAATAAGGGAAACAATAGGACCTATGTTTCTTTCACATTTTCTTGATCCATTCATCTACTGAGGGGCATTTGGGTTGGTTCCATATCTTAGCTATAGTGAATAATGCTGTAATAAACATAGTTGTGCTGGTAGCTTTAGTGTGGCCTTGTTTGTGATCATTTGGGTAAATGCCCAAAAGTGGGATTGCTGGGTCATAGGGGGGCTCTATGTGGAGTCTTTT